CACACACATATACATACACACACACACATACATACATACACATACATACATACATACATACACACACACATACATACACACACACACACACCTGTAGGCACACATCTGTTACAGATATATCTAACAGTGCAGCACAATCATCCTCCAACCCCTGCAACATAATGAGCACACACACACCTGTCGCGGGGCCTTATGGTTCATAATTATACCTCAATATGGAGCAAACCACTGTTCCCAGTAGCAGTCATCACCTATTGACAGCACCCAGTTTCTCTTTAATTACACACCCTCAACATTTAGACAGCTCAATACTTATCTTCCTACATACACACAGAGACACACACATTTTCCTAACAATTCCGCCACAATGCCCTTTACTGTCTGAAAAATATCTCAGAGTGCATATAGTATACTGTAGATGCCAGATACATATTTGTGGCAGTCAGGCAGTGGAATTAAATATTGAGGTGATGCTAGGACCAAGTGAGATTGTCAGACCGTACAGTATTTTTTAATGAAAGTGGAGCAAAAAATATGAACAAAAAAGTATAACTTCCAACTTTTGCATGCAAAATGTTATATAAACTTGAAGTCATAATTCTAGTTAATCAAGACAATACAGAGCTACCGATCAAGCGTACCATGGGAGGAATTTATTAAATCATGAGATCACGGTTAGTACTAAATAAACTAACAGGTAAATACTAAATTAACTAAAAGTGTACAATGCAGCAGAGATCCGTCCCTGAACTCTATACAATATGTCCTGAATTTGATACTGCAATGGGCAGTGCTGCCTTACATACAGATACTGTCAAGAGGCACATTGTGCATCAACAATGTCGACTTCAGCCCTAAATCCAAATCACCTGTCAAAGCACAAAACAGGAACATAAAACATTCTTCTAACTCCTAGACATGTCCATACACAAGACTTTGGAAAAAAAAATTCCCCAGCTCACGGACAAAATGACAACGACCTTCGCCTTGAAGGTTTACAAAAGCATAACTAGATGAATAGATGTGCTTGTCCGGTTCCAATTTTGTAGGTTGAAGCTGACGTTGTTAAAGGACTTCTCTAAAATTGATAAAAACTAATAATCCTTGTCTGGTGTCAGATCACTGTTAGTGGTTGAAAAAAATTATTTCTAGTCACACAAAAGTGCAGCTGACCCCACTGTCCTTGTAGTGGAGTTCCCTGAGCAGTGCACAATGACAGGAGACAGCTACATTTCTCTTTCAAGAGTTTATTCATTAAGAGTGTCATTGCCTTGACCAAGCACAAATAATTTGTAGGAAATTGCTACCAATTTTGCCAATTGATTGACTGTTTCCTTAAAAATATTATATCCTTAATAATTGCCTTGTATTTCTTGGCTTCTTTGAGGTCATTTATTTAGTTTCCATTGTTCAAACATGACAAGTATTGTCAGGTGCTGATGTGTCTTGGACAATTTACAATATTTCTGACGAGCTCTGAAAAAACTTGGCTGTCTCTTAGGTCAAATCAAGGCTTATGTAATGCAATTGGAAAGTCCTAGGAAAGCCAAATTTAACACATCTTATGAAAGACTGGTGTCATTTAAAGTAACTATTAAAATGTATTTTAAAAGCCTAATAGTTGTATTATCTATATTTTATTCCATATTCTGCAATTTCTAATATCCAAAATAAACACCAACATATTACTGATTAATTTCAACACAAAATAATGAGTCCTTTATGTAACTGATTTAAGACAATTTCTGGCATAAGTCACTGTTCTCACCTTTCTGTACAATCTGTACAAAAGAACATTTCTACAGGAATCATACGTTACTTGTTATCTTCTTATAGCCTTTCTTCCACACCATGTTCTCTCACACTAATGGCCACTCAAGTACACCTGACAACCGCCATACTAACAGCTTTGACTAATGGCCAGGCATACACACATGAGACGTGTGTGTGTGTGTGTGTGTGTGTGTGTGTGCGTGGTGCCAACACATCCCATTCTTCATCCTCTCATTACTCTTAAGACCCGTCATTCTTGCTCGCAGAGCAGAATGCTTATTTCAGACTGTATTTCCATATTTCAGATCATTCTACCAGGGATAACAAAGTGTGTATGTATGCTAATGCATGTGCTTGTCTGTGTGTACATGCATATGTGTGTGACACATCTACACTATAGTGTACAAAAATATCAATGTCTTCCACATATCCATTAAAAAGTAGTAATAGTAGTTTGTGTTGTGTTGAGAAATAATTGACAACATTAATTACCAAAGTTTTGAGTGGTTAATACTAGTCTGAGGCTCACTTATGAATCTTGTTAGGAACTAATTTGTACTTGAGGTTTGCGGTCTTTAAGAAAGTTTTGCAGACTTTTAAATTAAACCTGTCGTGTTTCAAAAACAGGCAGTTTCTGTTTTAAAATCTGCACATCCTTACACTGGCTATAGCACAAACTCTGCACTTTGTCCTCAGTCTTTCTGGCATACTACACAGATAATGAACAGGTTGGACATCCCCATTTAGAGACTAATAAATAATAATGGTTACTTAGGCTCTGCCTCTTAAATCCACAGTGTCAGAAGTTTATCTGTTCTTCTTAACAGTGAAGCTTACTGGCAGCATATTCAACAATGTGCACAAATACTGCATAATGACTACAGCTTGGTGTACCGTGCAACTAAACACACACATGCTTTAATATCTGTAAGTATTATCCATTTTTCAGCTTGTTTATTTTTAATTAGGCTTTCTTGTGCTTAAATTTCAGTTTGTGTGTTGCTTTATCTTACGTAACAAAATAGATCAGTAATATTGAAATGAAAAGTGAACACAGCATTTGTTTGCTTGTTTTCCTCTCAGAATAGACTATCTATGTACTTCTGTGTCATAAGCACAGCTGGTGTCTCATCATAGAGCTTGATAACCATCTGTCTGATTTTAGTAGTGGAGGTATGGCTGGTGTCATAAGGCCTTAATGAGGTTTTAGACAGGTCTTCAATATAGATGGAATGACAGAAGGAAACCATATGGGTCCCATTCATTTCCTTCCCTCACTTTATAGGCAGCATTTAGTCCAACAATTTGCTGACAGCTACAGTTTTCTGCTGTGTTTTTGTAGCCTTGTATATCTTGCTTTCTCCTTTATTTGATTTCATCCTCGCCTTATCTGCTTATTATCGCCTTGTCATCTCTTTTTGTCTTTCTTGCTCCTTTTTTTTTCTCTGTCCATCATCTTTTGATGCCTAGGGCTCCACTTCTGTTTCTCTCATTTTTTCACCTCTCTTCTTCCAACAGCTCAACAACTCCCTCACGTTTATCATATCAACTTTATCTTGCTTGTCTTGCCTTTTTTTTTGCTTTACCTCTCTCTTTACCTCACAAATACTAACTTTAATCTAATAGCCTTGGTTCTCTCATTTCACTACATCTCATCTGACATTTACATGCCATTCAGTTCAATTCAATTTTATCTGTATAGCGCCAATTCATAACAAAGGTTATCTCAGCACACTTTTAAAATAGAATAGGTAGGTCTAGACCGTACTCCATGTAGACCTAAATGGCTAATCCG